GATCCAGGGAATATCCGATTGCCTCTCGGGGGATCAGGAAGGATTTTTTTTCCCTGATGGAGCAAATTGGATCGTGCTTTGCTGGGTTTTATTTTGCCTTACTCTGGATCAACTGTGGGTATAGGATTATAACTTTTTTTTTTTTTAATGGTTGAACTAGATGGACTTTTGTCTTTTTTCAGCCAGACTAACTATGTAACTATATAACTTGTTCAAGATTTCTTCACTATCCTCTCCTCATTAACTTTTCTCCACATCACCTACGCATACACCTGTCTCCACTGCCAATGATCCTACATATAGCTCTTTGGCTGTTCGTTCACCAAGCCTCTGTGACCAAGCCCCCTATGAGAGGCAAAATGCGTCATGTTTTCATCTTCATTGTATATCAGTGTTGCTGAACTCCTCCAGCAACCTCCTCCTACATGCTCTCACTCCAGTGTCAGCTGCACATCAGTGCTGTAGATCGGCTTCTTGCTATTGTCAAATGTGGACCATGAGGACTGATAGTAAATCCTTTTTTTTTATCTTCCATTGTTGCTGGTCAGCTCCTCCCCTGTCAGAAGTCTGATTTGTTGGTATTGTTAAGGCCCTTTTCACCAATGTTCATTTTGACAGCTAATTTTGATTAGGTTTCAGTCAAAGTCTTTTGACTAAAATGGCATTTAGTTTCAGTAACATTTTAGTCTGAATTGTTTTAGTTTCAGTTGACTAAATATAATATGATCTACAGTAGATTTAGTCAAGTAAAATCGAATGGGTTTAGTTAACCACTTCCCGACCATGCTATAGCTAAAATACGGGTATGGTGATCATGGTTAAAGTTGTCTCTTAATACAAATACATGCATAAATGTCAGCATACAAATATCAATATAAAACAATATACAGAAATAATAAAACAATATACAGAATTAATAAAACAGTCAGATAGATAAATAACAATAAAAGACTTGGAGTGTCCATACGTTAAATAACTGGACACACCTGCTCAATAAATTCTAATAAATAACCTCCTATGGAATAGAATGGATAAGAATAACATAAAATAGAATAAAATAGAGCCAAAATACTACAATTCGCAATGACCATAAAATATAAAATTCCAGAGACCATAAAATGGAAAGGGAGAGCTAAGATAAATTTGGTCAATAGGCATATAATAGGCCAAACCAGAGGTTACTTGCATTAAGTTCCACTATATACATTATAAGTTGGAACTTATAACTTATTCCAACATGTTCCAACATATTATGTATAATGTATATAGTGGAACTTAATGCAAGTAAACAGTCAGGCCTATCAGTGCCCATCCGTGCCGCCTATCAGTGCCCATCAATGCCGCATATCAGTGCAGCCTTATTGGTGCCTCCTCATCAGTGAAGGAGAAAAATCACTTATTTACAAAACCTTTTAACAGAAACAAAGAAAATAGTGCCCATCAGTGCCTATCTGTGATGGCTTTCGGTGCCCTTCAGCGCCCATCTGTGCTGGCTTTCAGTGCTGGCTATCAGTGCCTCCTCAGTGATGCCTGTCAGTGTCCATCAGTGCTCATCAGTGATGCCTATCCGTGCCCATTAATGCCGCATATCAGTGCAGCCTTATCAGTGCCTCCTCATCAGTGCCCATCAGTGCAGTCTATCAGTGCACATCAGTGAATGAGAAAAATCACTCCTTTACAAAACCTTTTAACAGAAACAAAGAAAAACTTTTTTTCCAAACTTTTAGGGCTTTTTTGTTTGTTTAGCAAAAAAATAAAATCCCAGTGGTGATTAAATACCACCAAAAGAACGCTCTATTTGTCTCAAAAAAATGATGAAAATTTACTTTGGGTACAGTATTGCATGACCGTGCAATTGTCAAAGTGCGACAGCACTGAAAGCTAAACATTGGCCTGGGCAGAAAGGGGGTAACACCCTGGTCACATTGGGTTTGACTTGGCATGCGATTCGCATGCCCTGTGGCTTGCAAATCATATGCTAAGTTGCACCCTATTGTCTGCTATTAGAGCGGTCATATCGGTGCGGTTCCAACTTGGTCGGAGCCTCACCAATTTCTAAAGTAGTGCATGCACTACTTTTGTTGCGATTTGAATAGACATCTGTGTCTTATGTGCTCTGCTATAAGGGTGGCCAGGAGTAAACGAGCTCCGCTGTCCGTATACACCTGACTATCCTCTGATCCGATCCGCATAAATGGAAAAGGATGGATCCCCTTCTGTTTTATTAGCAGACCAGATTGGACCCGGAGGTAGGTGGGTATAAATGGAAAGGAGTTCATTAACACTTGCCTGTCCATAGGGATGCATGGACCATACGATCCGGCCCGGCTGAAAAACTGTCCTGTGGACCTGATCGAATGGCCCTTGTGAAAGGGGGCTCTGATCAGTAGGGATCTATGAGTGAATCCCCGTATGACAAAATCTGCCCCATATTAAAGGAGCCTAATGCAGCTGACAGTCCCCTGCATGTGCTCCACTGGGAAACAGGTGAGGGCTGACATGCCCCCTGAATGACAATTGGCTGTGAATTCGTATTGTGGGAATTAGACCGAGCTCACTTGCTTTTGCCTGTAAATGTGCCTATGGATGTTTTCCAGGCAGTTGCAGGCAGACAGACACAAGTGCCATCAATTGGTGCTAATTACTAATTTGTTGTCTACCGAGCAGTGTGGGGGGAGGGGTTGCGAGCTGTTGACCACTCTGACTCTCGATCCAAAGCACCTATCCAAATGGGGAAATGTGCTACAGGCACTGTGCCCTCTGGCGAGCAGAATAAAGAACATGTCTTTCACAATCAGCATCCCTTATAAAGTTCTGAATGCTGATGGGTGGGAAAAATTGGCCAATCGCGTGACCACTGTGATAAATAACACAGGGGTTGATTTACTAAAACTGGAGAGTGCAAAATCTGGTGCAGTGGTGCATGGTAGCCAATCAGCTTCCATCTTTAGCTTGTTCAATTAAGCTTTGACAAATAAAACTGGATGCTGATTGGTTTATAAACAGAGCTGCACCAGATTTTGCACTCTCCAGGTTTAGTAAATCAACTTCACTGCGTTCACATTATCTCGCCAGCTGCGGATCATTAGCTGGGACAAACTGGTGTCCTTGACAGCTCAGTCTCTGTGCTTGAAGTGCGCTGTCAGCACAGAAACATTGGCCTCCCAGTGATGAATATGCGCGACCTGTGGGCGCTAAAGCCCATCCTTTTTGCTCCTTCACATACACTATATTGCCAAAAGTTTTGGGCCAGCCCTCCAAATCATTGGATTCAGGTGTTCCAATCACCTCCATGGCCACAGGTCTATAAAATCAAGTACCTAGGCATGCAGACTGCTTCTACAAACATTTGTGAAAGAATGGGTCGCTCTCAGGAGCTCAGTGAATTCAAGCATGGTACTGTGATAGGTTGCCACCTGTGCAATAAGTCCATCCGTGAAATTTCCTGGCTACTAAATATTCCACGGTCAACTGTTAGTGGTATTATAACAAAGTGGAAGCAACTGGGAACAACAGCAACTCAGCCATGAAGTAGTAGGCCATGTAAAATGACAGAGTGGGGTCAGTGCATGCTGAAGTCGCCAACTGCCTGCAGTCAATAGCTAAAGGCCTCCAAACTTTGTGTGGCCTTCAGATTAGCACAACAGTGCATAGAGAGCTTCATGGAATGGGTTTCCATGGCTGAGCAGCTGCGTCCAAGCCTTACATCTCCAAGTGCAATGTAAAGTGTTGGATGCAGTGGTGTAAAGCACGCCACCACTGGGCTCTAGAGCAGTGGACACGTGTTCTCTGGAGTGATGAATCACGCTTCTCTGTCTGGCAATCTGATGGATGTGTCAGGGTTTGGCAGTTGCAGAACGGTACTTGCCTGACTGCATTGTGCCAAGTGTAAAGTTTTATGGAGGAAGGATTATGGTGTGGGGTTGGGCTTTGGTCCCTTAGTTCCAGTGAAGGGAACTCTTAAGGCATCAGCATACCAAGACATTTTGGACAATTTCATGCTCCCAACTTTGTGGGAACAGTTTGGGGATGGCCCCTTCCTGTTCCAACATAACTGCACACCAGTGCACAAAGCAAGGTCCATAAAGACATGGAGGAGCACGTTTGGGGTGGAGGAACTTAAAACTGGCCTGCACAGAGTCCTGACCTCAACCCGATAGAACACCTTTGGGGTAAATTAGAGCGGAGACTGTGAGCCAGGCCTTCTTGTCCGACATCAGTGCCTGACCTCACAAATGCACTTCTGGAAGAATGGTCAAACATTCCCATAGACACACTCCTAAACCTTGTGGACAGCCTTCCCAGAAGAGTTGAAGCTGTTATAGTTGCAAAGGGTGGGCCAACTCAATATTGAACCCTACGGACTAAGACTGGGATGCCATTAAAGTTCATGTGTGTATAAAGGCAGGCGTCCCAATACTTTTGGCAATATAGTGTGTTGCGTAGGTCACAAGAGATTAAGGAGAAAAGTATTCTTTAAAGACTGAACCAGGGGTGACAACACAGGAGCACAATTGGGAGACAGTTGTCACAGGAAGTGCCATTATTAACGATAAATAACTTACAGAAAAAAAGATTGGAAAACACTGAAATGACGTTGATATGTAAAAGCTTTTATAGGACTTTAGTGACTGAACGGTAATGAACACAGAAGCAAATAAAGGCAAATACATAACTATCTCTGCAACACCGTCTCCCTTGTAACACTTCCAGAATGAATATACAGTGGGTCATGTATGGTCCTTGTGTCTCATGCTGCGTTATAACGCAATGTGTGTGTACTGCAGGAAACGAAACCGCCCAATCACTTCTCCTGAACACCTGCTCTCCTGTCTGAGGCGGAAGCGTGTGCGTTCCAGCCGTGTGTTCCACGCTCTCCTCCAATCAGAGCCCGCTCGCTTTCACCCAATCTACAGGCGACACTGCTGACGTGCCCTCACCCGGAAGCGGAAGTCTGTAGCGGCTGTTCAGGACGGAGGCCCTGGGGGCCCGCGGGGAAGATGCCAGTTGCGGTGATGGCGGAAAATCCGGTGTCATATCAGAGGCTTCTAGAACAGTTCGAGGAACAAGAGCTGGAGGTGTGAGACGTGTCCGCAAATGTCTGCTCACAAGGAGGGATACAGAGAGTGCTCGGCTCTCATGCAGAATTCCCCTCTGTGTGGAAGTCCTGTGTACAGGGTGCAGGCTGGGGGAGCTCACTGTAGGGAGACAGACATCTGTAGTAGAATGATCAGACTTATGTAGTAATAGCAGTGCTCGGCGATCCATGAGACTGGATCTGTCAGTGTGTGACTGTAGCACACCGAGGTTTGCACTCTGTCTTATCCTTGAAAGTTGAACTTTAAACTTCGTTATATGTTGCCTTCCCTGCCCCCTACATCCCTTCTATTTCTATTACACATCTCAGTAGAAATCAACTAATGTCATCACCGGGTCTCTGTACATCTATATGTCATTCAGGAAGATTATGGCTGGTGGATAAAGCTGCAAGGTATGGGCTAGCTCTTGAGGGGAGTTCTGGAAATATTAACCACTTCTTTCTCCCCCTTCTTGCCCAGGCCAGCTGTCACATTTTGAATGACAATTAGTACCCTAATGAAACATGTACCCTAATGAAATTATCTTTTTTTTTTTAGACCAATTGAGCTTTCTTGTGGTGGTATTTAATCACCAATGGGTTTTTATTTTTTGCTAAACAAACAACCAAAACAGACTGAACATTTTGAAATTAAAAAAAAACTTTTTTTTCTTCATTTCTGTTATAAAATTTAGCAAATTAGTAATTTTTCTTATGCGCTGATGAGGCTGCACTTATTATCAGTGTAATCGTTGTACTCACCATGCCCTGACGGCTCTGCTCTCCTTTCCTCACACTCTGTCTCTGTGTGAGGAAAGGAGAACTGATCGCTGGAAAACTGCTGTTTACATTGTGACAGCTGCGACTGGACACAGCTGATCACTTGGTAAAGGGCTGTTGTGATTGGCTCTTTACTCCTGATCTGTGATCAGCTTTGTCCAAAGCACACGGTGGTTACAGAGTTTGTCCCAGGGGGCGCGAAGGAGGACATCCTCCCGGAACTGAAGAGTCGTGCTGTGGCCGCTATATATATATATATTGATAGCTATGTAGTCAGTCAGCTATAGCACGGGCTGGAAAAGGTTGAGCTTTAGTAACATGTTATATGTTACACTCGTACACTGCTCAAAAAAATTAAAGGAACACTTTGAAAACACATCAGATCTCAATAAGGAAAAATCTCATACTGGATATCTATACTGATATGGACTGGGTAATGTGTTAGGAAGGTAAGGATGCCCCATCATTTGATGGAAATGAAAATTATCAACCTACAGAGGACTGAATTCAAAGACAACCCAAAAATTAAAGTGAAAAAAATGATGCAGCAGGCTAGTCCATTTTGCTGAAATGTCATTGCAGCAACTCATAATGGTACTCAGTAGTTTGTATGGCCCCCACGTTCTTGTATGTATGCCTGACAACATCGGGGCATGCTCCTAATGAGACAATGGATGGTGTCCTGGGGTATTTCCTCCCAGATCTGGACTAGGGCATCACTGAGCTCCTGGATAGTCTGAGGTGCAACCTGGCGGTGTCGGATGGACCAAAACTTGATATCTCAGAGGTGTTCTATTGGATTTAGGTCAGGCATGTGTGGGGGCCATTCAATGGTATCAATTCCTTCATCCTCCAGGAACTGCCTACATACTCTCACCACATGAGGCCGGGCATTGTCATGCACCAGGAGGAACCCAAGACCCACTGCACCAGCGTAGGGTCTGACAATGTTTCCAAGGATTTCATCACGATACCTCATGGCAGTCATGGTGCCATTGTCTAGCCTGTAGAGGTCTGTGCGTCCCTCCATGAATATGCCTCCCCAGGCCATCACTGACCCACCACCAAGACGATCAGGCTGAACGAGGTTACAGGCAGCGTAATGTTCTCCACAGCTTCTCCAGACCCTTTCATGTCTGTCACATGTGCTTACTGTGAATCCCCTCTCATCTGTGAAAAGCACAGGGTGCCAGTGGTGGACCTGCTAATTCTGGTGTTCAACGGGAAATGCCAATCGTTCTCTATGGTGCCGGGCAGTCAGCACAGGGCCTGCTAGAGGATGTCGGGCCCTCAGGCCACCCACTTGAAGTCTGTTTCTGATTGTTTGGTCAGAGACATTCACACCAGTGGCCTGCTGGAAGTCATTTTGTGGGGGTTCAGGCAGTGCTCATCCTGTTCCTCCTTGAACAAAGGAGCAGATACCGGTCCTGCTGATGGGTTAAGGACCTTCTACAGCCCTGTCCAGCTCTCCTAGAGTAACTGCCTGTCTCCTGGAATCTCCTCCATGCTCTTGAGACTGTGCTGGGAGACACAGCAAACCTTCTGGCAATGGCACGCGGTGATGTGCCATCCTGGAGGAGTTGGACTGCCTGTGCAACCTCTGTAGGGCCCAGGTATCACCTCATGCTACCAGTAGTGACACTGACCCTAGCCAAATGCAAAACTAGTGAAAAACAGAAAAGATGAGTAGGGGAAAAAGTCAGTGGCCTCCACCTGTAAAACCATTCCTGATTTTGGGTCGTCCCATTGTTGCCCATCTAGTGCACCTGTTGTTAATTTCAGTAACACCAAAGCAGCTGAAACTGCCCCCCCCCCCCCCCCCCCCGCTACGTAACTGACCAGATCAATATCCCAGGAGTTTAATTGACTTGATGTTATACTCTGATTAAAAAGTGTTCCTTTAATTTTTGTGAGCAGTGTATTTAGGGTGTAACCGGTTTCTATGCAATAGCCCCCCCCCCTGTTGTCCCATGACAGCAGGTGGGGAGATCTCCACTCACTGCACACTCATTCCGGGTAAGTGAATCAGAGGTAACTAAACTCAGAGGATAGGCATGACAACGGGAAAGCTTGTCAGAAGACCAGAAATGGAAGTCTCTAACTTTCTACCAGCACAGCTCTTAGGAATACCAGGTAGAACAGTTGTATAGAATTCATTAGTTCTGTGGGTTTATTCTGTTTGTTTGGTGTTAGGTTTGCCATCAATAAATCCCAAAAGAATTACTGACAGTGTTTGAGGATAAAGCATCACAGCATAGCTTTCAATGATTGACTTTTATAATAGTTGCCTGTGCGAATAGGCCCTTATCCTGCCAACTAGCCAGCAGAGAACCCCCCCCTGCAAATATTATGTGCAGTTAGCAGTACAAATCAATGGCTGTCACCGATCACATGTAACCCTTCATCCAAGCAGTTACATGCAATTAGAGATTCTGACCAGCCTTGGATTCAGACAATTTGGGGTTTATTTACTAAACCTGGAGAGTGCAAAGTCAGGCTCACTTTTGCATAGAAACCAATCAGCTTCTAACCTGAGCTTGTTCAATTAAGCTTTGGCAATGAAACCTGGAAGCTGATTGGTTTCTATGCAGAAGTGAGCCTGACTTTGCACTCTCCAGGTTTAGTAAATAAACCCCTTTGCGTCCACGAACAGCATTTGTGTTGGAAATAGACTGGCCCCAGTTATTCATTCAGTTTGTATGCGGCCATAGTACTGCTGCACCACAATTCAATATTTGGCTGCCTCTGAAAGCAGCATGCCTGATGCCCTTCATTTGCTTAGGGAAATTCACCCCCTTTATTTGTCCTGTTTATCATGAGCATTGAAAGTGAAAGTAAAAGAGAATCCCATATTTTTAATTGTCCCCAGAAAAGTAAGGGGAAATCTTCCAATAGGGACACTGATTTTGGTGACCTAGGGGTCCGCAAAGGTATCCTTGTAATTTGTATGGATTTCCTCTCACTTACTGGTTTAGCAATCGGACAGGAAGTGAAGGTAAATCTCCCCAATGGGGCACAGATGGCAAAACAAAATTGATAGGGCTATAACCCTCCCTTACTCTAGTCAAAATGAAAAAAAAGTTTTGTCTATAGTTCTACTTTAAAGTGATACTAAAGCTAAAACTTTTTTTTTTTAATCTCAATGCATTCCTTGTATTAGGGTAAAAACATTTTCTATTTCTCTGTACATATTCTCTGTACATACTTTTTTTCTATCTGAAAGCATGAAACAAAATAGGTGTCGCTGTTATACCAGGTCCTATTGACCTTACAATGTACGTAATTATCTCTCACTGCCCTCTCTACATTGTTCAGCTCCTTTTATTTGTTTCTGTTTTCCAGGCTCCTGGTGGTGTGGCTACTCCCCACATCTACAGCCAGCTGCTGGCTCTGTATCTTTTACACAATGATATGTAAGTGGTTCAGTCCCTTTATTTTCTGTATTTACAGATTTTTATAATGGCATTTAAATATAATGCTTTTTGCCTTTTATATAGGAATAATGCTCGTTATCTGTGGAAAAGGATCCCACAGCCTGTTAAATCTGTAAGTATTACTTTCTTTATTATTATTGTCAGGGTGTGCCACAAAGTAATGTAGCAAAGGCAATACTAATTAATGGAAAATTAGCAAAAATCTATTTGTGGGGCCCTCTGCTCATGTCAGGGGGAAGGAGGTCAGTGAGAGAGGGTTCTGTGGGGTGCTATAAGGGAACCTGCAACAGTAGAAGTATTACAAACTTGCAAACTTACAGAATTTTGTCTTGGTCTCTTTATGTAGGATATAGTTCTTGTTCACGGTGAGCGACTTGCTAATAAGCCAGGACCAGGACATCCATGACGTTTGCTTCTTTAAAGAGATCATAAGCTCACTGAAGTGACTGGCCTCAAGTGATACACAGTTACATAGTTAGTAAACAAAAAACTGAATGAGCGCAACTTTTCATACAACTAGATACAAGTTAAATATCCAATGAGCTAATAAGGAGCTGCTAGCATAAAAGGCATACCTCGGCACCTCAGTAATATATGTAATCTAAAAAAATGCAGCGCTGAAATTAAATTGACCATCAAATACAAGCAAAAATGTTCAAAATAAAATGTCCAAATATATTATTCTTTCATATAGCATATTAGAAGTCCTGTTGATGAGAAAACGCTCCAAATTTGCAGTGGTCAAGGCTATGTGATATACTCCTGGTTACTCCATAAGATGATAGTACAATAATGCACTTACCAGAAGTACATACAAACTGGGCGTTGTATGTAAATAATCCGTGGAGGCTTCATGGTCTGGTCACCGGGATGGCGTCCTCTAGGGCTGCAGCAGACTCCCAGGGATGGTGTCACTCACACTTGGGGGTCATCATAAGCATACCACAAAGGTCCACCGCCGTTCAGACTCCAGGGTCCACTCCCCCCTAGTTAGCTCGAGATAAACGAGCCCGGGAGGCAAAATGGCACTAATAGTGTAATCCCGTTTTATTAAATTAAAAGGTTGTATACAATAGCAGGGCACTCACATGCACAGTAGTAGAGAGGTTATTCCATCAAACCTCCAAAACGTATAACATTCAAAATTGAAACATCTGGAAGAAACAGCGTCAAAATAGGGGATTCCCCTGACATGTTTCGTGCGGAACGCACGTTATCAAAGGGGTGAATCACCTCTAAATGACGCTTCCTATATGTAATTGATCGCGCATGCGCAGTTGCCGCCACGCGCCGCTAGCCGCAACCGCGCATGCGCGAATAACGTCACACGCCGCAGCCATCTTGGAGCCAGTGCGCATCCTAGAGGCGCATTGTCAGCTGTAACTTCAGCCGTCCCCCCCCGCAGACCTCGACAGGCCGCGCGTGCGCGATTGACGTCACACGCCGCGGCCATCTTAGAAATGGTATGGACGGCAAAGCGCACCGCTAGCTCTGCCCTCACCACAAACATGCAACCTCCTACAATTACATCCATCCGGGAGGCTGCATAATAAAGGGGGACATAGTTAGTGGGCCACATGTCACATTGTAGCCCACAAAACCTGGCTAAAAAATCCCCTCAAATTACCCAGGGGAAAGGATGGCACATGTCCCCAGAAATGGACAAGCGGAATCCATTTTATTGAGGACACCTGTCATAAATCTCCAATGTCCACCTAATACATATGTGCAGCAAATGTTGACCAACCCCGCACATATATTGGCATCTCAATAAATAACACAATCCGTTTAAAATACACAATGAATCTAAAAGGTGACATTACAAATAAAATAGATAAAAAACAAGTAAAATGAGACTATAAAATCACAAAATCCTTCATGTAAAATAATGTGGTAATAATATTCACTCTTATATGGGTATAAGGACCTTAAAAGTTACATCGCTACATATTGCAAAAACCCGCACGATATTCGCGTCAAGCCATATAAAGCGTTAATGTTATTGAGCTGGTCAAATAAAAGCCTATAAAGTGTTAAAATCAACTGTTATCTATGAAACAGTTTATATCCAGATCCACGTTCAGGCCCTGAGGGGATAGGGCCTTCATGTCCACTATCCATTTGGTTTCCAATTGTGATATGGCTCTCCTCTTATGCCCCCCTCTCCAATGAGGTATGATAGAATCAATGGCTGTAAACTTCAATGATGTGGGGTCTCTGTCATGATGGTCCCTAAAGTGCTTAGACAGCGAATGGTACTTAAAACCTTTTTTAATATTACTAAATGGCCAGGTGGGAGGAAGACCTGATATATGCTTGTGAATGGCCCTCCCTTATTTTTTACAGACGTTACATAGATGACGTCTTTCTTTTATGGCAAGGAGATGAATTCTCCTTGAAAAACTTTTTTATCACTCTTAATGACAATAATTTGAACATCAAGCTATCTTTTGAGTATGATCTGAAAGAAATAAGCTTTTTAGACTTAGTTTTAACTAATAATGGGAATCATATCACTACAAAAACACTCTTTAAGAAGACGGACAGAAATGGTTTCATTCCAGTAGATGGCTGTCATCATCCAACATGGTTGGGTAATATCCCAAAGGGACAGTTCCTGAGAATAAGGAGAAACTGCACAAACCTATCAGACTTTTTTTGATCAGGCCAACATACTCAAAAACAGATTTGCTGAAAAGGGGTATGACACTGAAACCCTAAATCAGACCATCAGTGATGTTGGACGTCTGGATAGGGAGGATCTCCTGACACCAACTAAGAAGGCTAGACCAGGTAGATTCTGTCCTTTCATCACGGATTTTTCCATACAATATAGGGATATAGCGAAGATGATTAGAAAAAATTGGGCTGTCCTTAAGAATGACCCGATTTTGGGGGAAGTAATTCCAGCTTTCCCTGAGATCACTTTTAGGAAATCCACACCATTACGGCTTACAGTGGCTCCAAATGTAGTGGACCCACCTAAGAACATGTCCTCCGCTTTTGGTCTAACAGGATTTTTCCCATGCAATAAGTGCATTGCCTGCCGGTACAATGGGATACGTAAAACAAGAATAAAAGAGTTTAAATCCAATGTGACTGGTAGGAGTTATAATATAAGACCATTAATTACATGTGACAGTACACATACGGTGTATCTTTTGGAATGCTCCTGTGGCCTTCAGTATATTGGACGGACTACGAGACGCTTGAGGGACCGTCTAAGGGAGCATTTTAGTAATATTAAAAAAGGTTTTAAGTACCATTCGCTGTCTAAGCACTTTAGGGACCATCAGAGACCCCACATCATTGAAGTTTACAGCCATTGATTCTATCATACCTCATTGGAGAGGGGGGCATAAGAGGAGAGCCATATCACAATTGGAAACCAAATGGATAGTGGACATGAAGGCCCTATCCCCTCAGGGCCTGAACGTGGATCTGGATATAAACTGTTTCATAGATAACAGTTGATTTTAACACTTTATAGGCTTTTATTTGACCAGCTCAATAACATTAACGCTTTATATGGCTTGATGCGAATATCGTGCGGGTTTTTGCAATATGTAGCGATGTAACTTTTAAGGTCCTTATACCCATATAAGAGTGAATATTATTACCACATTATTTTACATGAAGGATTTTGTGATTTTATAATCTCATTTTACTTGTTTTTTATCTATTTTATTTGTAATGTCACCTTTTAGATTCATTGTGTATTTTAAACGGATTGTGTTATTTATTGAGATGCCAATATATGTGCGGGGTTGGTCAACATTTGCTGCACATATGTATTAGGTGGACATTGGAGATTTATGACAGGTGTCCTCAATAAAATGGATTCCGCTTGTCCATTTCTGGGGACATGTGCCATCCTTTCCCCTGGGTAATTTGAGGGGATTTTTTTAGCCAGGTTTTGTGGGCTACAATGTGACATGTGGCCCACTAACTATGTCCCCCTTTATTATGCAGCCTCCCGGATGGATGTAATTGTAGGAGGTTGCATGTTTGTGGTGAGGGCAGAGCTAGCGGTGCGCTTTGCCGTCCATACCATTTCTAAGATGGCCGCGGCGTGTGACGTCAATCGCGCACGCGCGGCCTGTCGAGGTCTGCGGGGGGGCGGCTGAAGTTACAGCCGACAATGTGCCTCTAGGATGCGCACTGGCTCCAAGATGGCCGCGGCGTGTGACGTCATTCGCGCATGCGGCTAGCGGCGCGTGGCGGCAACTGCGCATGCGCGATCAATTACATATAAGAAGCGTCATTTAGAGGTGATTCACCCCTTTGATAACGTGCGTTCCGCACGAAACATGTCAGGGGAATCCCCTATTTTGACGCTGTTTCTTCCAGATGTTTCAATTTTGAATGTTATACGTTTTGGAGGTTTGATGGAATAACCTCTCTACTACTGTGCATGTGAGTGCCCTGCTATTGTATACAACCTTTTAATTTAATAAAACGGGATTACACTATTAGTGCCATTTTTCCTCCCGGGCTCGTTTATCTTGAGTTACATAGTTAGTCTGGCTGAAAACAGACGACAAAAGTCCATCCAGTTCAACCAAAAAAAGTTATAATTCTATACCCGCCATTGATTCAGAGGAAGGCAGAAAAACCCAGCAAAGCATGATCCAATTTGCTCCTGTTGGGGAAAAAAAAATTCCTTCCTGATCCCCCGAGAGGCAATCGGATTAACCTGGATCAACTTTACCTGTAAATATTAGTATCCAGTTATATTCTGTGTATCTAGGGAAACAATCCAGGCCTTTTTTAAATCCACTAAGCTGGCCAGAACCAATTCTTGAGGGAGTCTATTCCACATTTTCACAGCTCTTACTGTAAAGAAACCTTTCCGTATTTGGAGTTTAAATCTCTTTTCCTCCAGATGTAAAGAGTGCCCCCTTGTCCTCTGTGATGACCTCAGGGTGAATAACTCTACACCGAGTTCACTATATAACCCACTGATGTATTTATACATGTTGATCATATCCCCCCTTAATCTCCTCTTCTCAAGAGAAAATAAGATCAGTTCCTCTAATCTTTCCTCATAGCTGAGCTCCTCCATGCCTCTTATCAGTTTGGTTGCCCTTCTCTGCACTTTCTCCAGTTCCCAAATGTTCTTTTTGTGAATTGGTGCCCAAAACTGAACTGCATATTCCAGATGAGATATTACTAATGATTTGTACAGGGGTAATATGATATCTCTCTCTGGAGCCTATACCTCTTTTAATACAAGAGAGGATTTTGCTTGCTTTAGAAACCGCAAATCCTGCGTAAGCTGTACCTGTTTATGTACAGTCCTCTCTCTTCTACAGCCTTCTAAAGTACACCAAGCAAAGCAGTAGCCTCATAGGGAAACATGCACATCTGAAAAGACCAAAATGAGGTTGAGAGTCCCTATAGCCTTATAGCAGCAATTATCAGTGTTGCTGCCTTTGCTGTGGCTTTGACTGATTTGACTCTGGCAACAACTGGAAAAGTTACTGATTAGCAACAAACTGCAAAAGATGCCCAATTCTGATTAGGCAATACCAGAGAAGAGAATATTGTTAAGTCTTTCAACACAGTCCCGTTGCTGTCTTTGACCCAATGGGGAGGAAGAAGAGAGGTGCTGCTTTTGAGCACGTCGCTGGATTGAGATCGGGGTCAGGTAAGTATAAGGGGGAGCTGGGGGGGAGAGAAAAAAAAAAACCTTCAGGCTTTACAACCATTTAATGAAGGCGTTTGATAAAACTGGACATATTGAAGAATGTAACAATTCACATTGGAACATTTTTTATTTTTTTTTTAACAGTGCAAGCAAATAAAGCAAGCATCTAAATAAAGAGCAGCTTCGCTCTACCTATCGTGAATGAAATGTAAAATTCCTAACTATTTCCCTGTATTAAAAACAAAAAAAGGACTAAAAAAAATATATAGAAAACTTGTGCCAAAGGAATAAACAATCAATATAAATGCTGCTGTTCAAAAAAAATGACTGAACATCAAAACATACAAAGTGACAAATAATATAAATAATAAAAAATGTGAAAAAATTATATATATTAAAATCCAACAAAGAAAAGTCCCAAATTAAAGTCCAATGTCCCAAAAATTTGTGAGGAAAAATATATATAAAACTCTAACACAAACTTCATAAATTTTCCTGCGTGCTCACATCCTCCGTGAAAAAACATTTGTTCCACACTCACCAAATACTGTGAATTCTCAAGCTAATATAGCTTTAAGAGACAAAAAACAAGCCTGCAGGTGGAGTGTGGTATCCTCAGATGTTGTAATACTCTTAAACGATTTCTCACTGACCCAGATATTTCCACATGGACAATATAAAATATAAAAGAAAAATTGGCAATAGTATAATACTGTATGATGATCAAATGAAAATGTCAAGAAAAAAACTTCCTTACACTCACATAAGGTGGCTTAAAAACCAATTTCCATGAATTCCCTCTCATGGATGGATGAAAAATGCAAAAGAAAGGATACCAAAATAGCGTAATACTGTATAAAAACCTTTAATACTCAAGTGATACTCCACATGCACTCACATTTTAAAACAAAATATAAAGACTTTTTTATTAATAAATCAGGACTCCTTTAAACTTGTTCCAATAGCCCTTCTGACAATTCCAGCTAGGCAGACACAGTTGATAAGCATTGGCAGTGAAGAACTGGCAAAAGTGTAGAATTCAGATAGTTTTTCCCACACTAAAGATGGCCACGGAACGCCGCATCAGCGTTCGCTCCACTCACCGGATATGATGTCACACGTACAGGGTCGGAACTGGAAGTTACGTAAACGCGTTTCACCTTCCCACAAGGTGGCTTCATGGACAAGAAACTCCGGTTCTCAATCACTTTAAATACTACCCCATCACTCCTCATTCGCCCAGCAATTATTGGGTGGAATACATTAACATATTATTTTGAGAATTCACAGTATTTGGTGAGTGTGGAACAAATGTTTTTTCACTGAGGATGTGAGCACGCTGGAAAATTTATGAAGTTTGTGTTAGAGTTTTATAGATTTTTTGTCACAAATTTTTGGGACATTGGACTTTAATTTGGGATTTTTGCTTGTTGGACTTTAATATATATAATTTTTCACATTTTTTATTACTTGTATTATATGCGCTATATCACTTTATGAAAAAAAAGTACTAGTCTATGGAATCCAGCATTGTTTCTCGAAGGTTCCATTTCTCTGCTTTGTTCTGCTTCCCTGCTGCCATCTTGAAATAAGACTTGGCGCACTTGAGGATGCCATGGCATGTCTGTATATACACACAGGAATCCAGAGCATGCACAGACATGCTCTTGGGCTCTTCCAGTTAACTGGCAGTGGCCCACAGTGTGTCTTTGCTTGCAGGGAGTCCAGCACACTGCTTCCTAGGATACGTGACATAGACACATAGGAGGTGGCTTCCATGATGAGTAGTAAGAAAGTGAAGGTGTGAAAAAAAAATGAAAGAAAAAGTTATTTGCAGTTTTTTTTTTTTATTTCTAATGCAATTATGTAAGAAGGAGGGGTGAGACAGGTGAGAGGATGTTTGGTAAATGGATGAAGGTTTGCTTTAGGGCCTCATGTACCACCTTGGTGAAGAGAGAATTATGGTCATTATAAGTTTGCTGATATTTGTGGAAAAATATCTAATAAGTGTGTGTATGTGTTTTACAGGCACAGCTTTGTATATGTACCACTCTATTATGTAGCACTGTAGTGAGTCTCTATGTTATGGTTCCTTCCCTGCTTGCTCTATAACTTTTTTTTTTTTTTTTTTTGTGTTATTCTTGTGCTAATATGTTTGGGCAGCTGATAAACATGGGGGTTCAGTTGATTACTCTCCTTTGGGGAGGTTTATATCAGTCGTTGTGAAACAATTTCATTCAGATTTATCACTCTGAAATCTGTGTAATTCCTGAGTGTCCCCCTCCAGTGCTCAGTATACTAGTACAATTATAGGTCATAGCCTTGTATTACAGATTCATCTGATTTTAAGCATAATATTGTGAAAATACGATAAATTTAGCCCAGATATTGACAAAGTTGTCTTAGTTTGCTGTCCAAGTTTACAGAACAGAAATTGCATGCACACGATGGCAAGTCTTTGATAAATGAGGGACAGATGGCTTTATGGTATAACAGCCCAAATCTGTTCTTGGCCTTCTTGATAACATCTCTTCCTTGTGTTTTTGTGGAGCTTGCATTGCTCTGCTTTGTGTAATGGTTATTTGAGTTGCACAACCTGAAATAAAGCATCTGGTGCTTATTAGAATGTATGTCTAAGCTTGTTACTGTGCATAAACATCGCTCTGTTCTTTTCTATAAAGCCTTTTATATTTAATTGTTTAATAGCTGGCTCTGGCCCTTTTGCTTGTATTGATTTGGCCATGTTGTATTATTTGTCATTTATGATTAGATTTTAGGGGCTTCCCTTTTAAATGTAACAGTGGATTTAAGACTATTTCATAATATTGTAATTTCAGTCAAAATTAAGATTTCACTAAGAATGCTTTGGCAAGCAAAAATGGTGGCATATCTATTAATTTCCTTCTTGGACTTGGTCCTCTGCTGTAGTATCAAAAAAGCATGAAGGTGGAACTGAAGAAAGCAGCAAAGTATAAAAAAAAATCTGGTTTATTGTATTATTTGAACGGAGCAAAGGGATTGATACCCAAGTTTTGGAGGAGATAGGAGGTGCCGAAAATAAAAGATTGGGTGGACAGGGTAGATTAAATATGTAGATTGGAGGAACTTTATGATATGAATGAAGATAAGATGGAGAGTCACCATATAAGATGGAACAAATGGGATGAATTTAAAAAGTCAAAGCTGATGGGGGATTAATATAGAACAATAAGGTCTCTACTTGCTCCTTCCTTTGTTGAGATGTGACTCTTAGAAAGGAATAGAAAATTGCAGAGCCATGGGGGGGGGGGGGGAGGGGGTGGTGAATAGGTAGGAGGGGAGGGTTTGGGAGGGGGGATGAGATGAAAAGATTGAAGTTTTCTTTTTATGATATTGTGAGGTTTTTTTTGTATAATTTGTTAACTAGTAGCCGACCGCAGGTAGCCAAATGACGGCTGTACTGCGGCCGGCCAGTTCTGGGTGGACGTCATATGATGTCCCCCCCAGAACGCGCTCTCCTGCGCGCCCCTGGGGGCGCGCACCCGGTGAACACACCGCGATCTCCGTGATCGCTGTGTCCTACGGACACAGCTGATCACGTGATGTGGTAAAAGGCCAATCACAGCGGCCTTTTACCACGTGATCAGCGGTGTCCAATGACACGCTGATCAGAGGGAAATGCAAGTGCTGGTTCTCGGTTGCACTTTCCTCACGCTGTCAGATCGTGAGGAAAGTACTGCCGAGAACCGGCAGTTGTCAGAGCGGGGATCGGCACCGATCATCAGGGCACTGATGATCAGTGCCCTGATGATCGGTGCCCAGCAGTGACACCCGCAAGTTCCGCCCACCTGTGCCCAGCCCAGCAGTGCCCCCCCACCTGTGCCACTCTGCAGTGCCACCTACCTGTGCCCAGAAGTGCCACCTACCTGTGCCCAGCAGTGCCACCCACCTGTGCCCACCCACCTGTGCCCACCAGTGCCACCCACCTGTGCCCACCCACCAGTGCTGCCCACCAGTGCCACCCACCAGTGCACCCAGCAGTGCTGCCAGTCAGTGCCACCAGTCAGTGCCCAGGGGTTGTGCCAGTCAGTGCCGCCAGTCAGTGCCCATCAGTGATGCCAGTCAGTGCCGTCTATCAGTACCCATAATCAGTGTCACCTATCCGTGCCGCCTATCAGTGCTGCATATTAGTGCCGCCTATCCGTGACACCTCATTAGTGCTGCCTTTCAGTGCCGCCTATCCGTGCCACCTCATTAGTGCTGCCTATCAGTGCCCTTTAGTGCTGCCTATCAGTGCCCATCAGTGCCGCCTATCAGTGCCCATCAGTGCTGCCTCATCAACGCACATCAGTGAAGGAGAAAAAAATACCTGTTTGAAAAATTTTATAAAAGAAACAAAGAAACTTTTTTTTTTTTTTTCAAATTTTTTGCACTTTTTTTATTTATAGCGCAAAAAGTAAAGTGCCCAGTGGTGATTAAATACCACCAAAAGAAAGCTCTATTTGTGAGAAAAAAAATGATCAAAATTTCATATGGGTACAATGTTGCATGACCGCGCAATTGTCAATCAAAGTGCGGCAGCGCTGAAAGCTGAAAATTGGCCTGGTAAATAAGGGGGTATAAGTGCCTGGTAGGCAAGTGGTTAATTTGAAAAACCAATAAATATTTAAATAATAAACACAAAAAAGCATGAAGATTTCAGTGTAACCCATAAGGCGATTTCTGGCTTGGTTACGCAGAACACATTTTTAGATTAAAGTGAAAAACCATTTAAGTTTGTGTCTCTGGGTTTACTTATTTTTTGTTTGTTTAGCAGATATAACATTCTTATTCCTTTTAGGCCAATGCAGAGATTGGTTGGATTTGGGAGGTAGGTCAGAGGATCTGGCAAAGAGACTTTCCAGGGAATATATACCTCCATAGCTGCCCATCAGTGGTCTGAAAATATACAGCCTATCATGGAGGCAGTAAGAGGTAAGGTCCCTTTTCAGCTGTAGTCAAAGTCTTCAATTTCTTTGATCAGATTTCCATACTTTCATGTCGGTTTATATCTAACCTTTTGACTTCTGTTGGTTTGATGAATGCATTTACCACTGTATATTAAGTTGTGTTGTTGCCAAATCTTGAACTCCAGTTAAATGGCTAAGTACAAACTAAAAATATAGATTTTAAATTATTTTGCCAGCAAAACAATTTAACATTATTTGCAGTCAGCCTTGGACTCCAGGCAGCCCTGCCAAACAACACAACCAGGTCTGACACCACACTTTACTGTAGTGAAGCAATACACATTTGCGAAGAGCCCCACATGGCCTGCTGGTTAGATAATGAGGGAGGAGTAATACACTCATAAAATCGTTGGGCTGCTTTAACCTCTTGGAACAGTGTTATTGTGACAGTACTGTTTAAAACATAAGGTTAAATTTGGCTTGGATTACTAACCTTCCTTCTAAAGTGAACGTAGTTGTGGTGAGCAGGAAACACAGCATAGTAGAGCCTTCCTAGAACAGAATATATTCACATATCCCTCCATCACATATGCCACAAATAAGAGAATGGATCCTCATTTCAGAACAGTGGCTGGAGGCCCTCTATCTATCTGAAACTGCTGGTATATAGCACAGATACTGCCTAATATTTCAGAGCCATTTATTCCAAACTGTTTCAAGCTTATTGGTCATCATTATTGCAGTGTATGGAAAAAGTGGCTTCTATAGAGAAGGGTTTTAGGGACCAGAAAGTAAGTATATCCTGAAAGTTATTGTTAGAAGGGACTAAAGGAGCCAAAAAGGCTATATTAAATTAATGCATCTCACTGTAGATCCTTAGAACAGAAGGTATTCACATGTCCAGTTTGATCACATAATCCAAAAGTAAAGGAATTATTTCTCATCTCAGAAAAGTGGTTGGAGCAATGCACATTATTTAGAGTCCATTCACACCTTGTCAATGGGCCTAGTTTACATCAACATACTGTATGTGCACTGAGTGAAAATGGAACATGCTGCATTTAAATGCACTGCAACACACTAGGACTGCAAATATTGATTATTTTCAGAATTGATTAGTTGGCCGCCGATTTATTGTTTTGATTAATTGGATGAAAACCTCAAAAAGAAGTTTGGTGCATAATGTAGTTAATATGTAAAAAAAAAAAAAGGCAATTTCTTCTTGAATATCTCTATGCAGTGGTAAATATAAATAACCAGCTATATGGTTAGAGAACATAATATCTGATCCACTCTGAGAATAACAGACAGAAGAGATATATACTATTAGAGGTCTGGCATATATCATCAGATTCAAAGATCTTGCACATTTTCAGACAAGACTGTAATATACAGTTGGGTCCATATATATTTGGACACAGGCATAATGTTAATACTTTTGGCTCTGTATGCCACCAGAGTAAATTAAAATGAAACAATCCAAATTAGTTTGAAGTGCAGACTTTCAGCTTCAAGGGGTTGAACATAGATATCAAGAACACATTTTAGGAACTGCAACCATTTTTATACACAATCCCTCCATTTTCAGGGGCTCAAATGTAATTGGACAGATTAATATAATCATAAATAAAATGCTTATTTTTAATATTTTGTTGAGAATCCTTTACTGTCAACGACTGCCTGAAGTCTGGAACCCATGGACATTACCAAAGACTGGGTTTCCTCCTTTCTGATGCTTTGCCAGGCTCTAACTGCAACTGTCTCCAGTTGTTCTTTGTTTGTGGATCTTTCTGCCTTTTGGTTTTGCCTTCAGCAAGTGAAATGCATGCTCAATTGTTGAGATCAGGTGATTGACTCGGCCATTGCAGAATATTGCACTTCTTTTCCTTCAAAAGCTACTGGATTTGTTTTGCAGTGTGTTTTGGATCATTGTCCATCTGTACTGTGAAGTGCCGTCCAATCAAATTTGCTGCATTTGGCTGAATCTGGGCTGACAGTATATCTCTAAACCCTGCAGAATTCATCCGGCTGCTTCTGTCTTCTGTCACATCATCAATAAACACCAATGACCCAGTGCCACTGGAAGCCATACATGCTCATGTTATCACACTGCCTCCACCATGTTTTACAGATGACGTTGTGTGCTTTGGATCATGGGCTGTTCCAAGCCTTCTCCTCACTTTGTTTTTCCTGTCATTCTGGTACAGATTAATCTTAGTTTCATCCGTCCAAAGAATGCTTTTCCAGAACTGGTCTGGCTATTTTTAGATGTTTTTTGGCAGTTTAATCTGGCTTTTCTATTCTTCAAACTTATGAATGGTTTGCATTGTGGTGAACCCTCTGTATTTGCTCGTGAAGTCTTCTCTTGATTGTAGACTTTGACAATGATACGCCCACCTCCTGGAGAGTGTCCTTCACTTGTCTGGATGTTGTGAATGGGTTTTTCTTTACCATAGAGAGGATCCTGCGATCATCCACCAGTGTTGTCTTCCGTGGGCATCCATGCCTTTTTATGTTGCTGAGCTCACCAGTGCGTTCTTCTTTCCTCAGAATGTACCAAGCTGTTGATTTGGCCACTCCTAATGTTGCTGCTATTTCTTTGATGGATTTGTTTAATTTTTGAAGCCTTACAATGGCCTGTTTCACTTGCATGGACAGCTCCTTTGAACGTATGATGTAGGTTCACCGCAATAGATAACAAATTCAAATACCACACTTAGAATAAACTCCAGACTTTTTTACCTGCTTGATCAAAGGAATAACGAAGGAATAGCCCACATCTGGCCATGAAACCGCTTTTGATTCAGTTGTCCAGTTACTTTTGGTCCCTTGAAGAAGGGGGGTGGATACTCTTAAAAGCTGTAATTCCTAAACCCTTCCTCCAATTTGGATGTACATACCCTCAAATTAAACCTGAAAGTGTGCACTTTCAGCCCATATCCATTATATAACTGTAGCTTGAATATGTTTTGGTAAATGCCTTAAAAAATCTAAAATTGTGCCTGTGTCCAAATATATATGGACCTAAGTGTAATATTATGCATTACAGACTCCCTTGTCATAGGCAGGTAGCTTGATACAAGCTACCTGCACCTGCTGTCACTTATGCTGCCCATACACAAACATATTTTCCCTTAGAAAATTTTTAATTTTAGGAACATTTGTTTAATTTTCTAATCATTTTAGGGGCCAAATTGACATTTTTCACCACATTGATGATGAGAAAATTCTAATGGAGCAGAATATTATTATTATTATACAGGATTTATATAGCTCCAACAGTTTGCTCAGCGCTTTACAATATAACGGGAGACAATACAGCAATGATACAGTTCAATACAAGAAGGTTAAGAGGGCCCTGCTTGGAGCTTACAATCTAGAATAGAAAACTTTTCTCAATCAAACAAATTTCTGGAAAGTGTATTTAGTTTTTACTCAGAAGTAACTTTCATTTTTAAATGCAAGTGAAAGACATTTAGTAGCAGCACCATGTTTTTTTTTAATCGCCTGTCATGATGGGGTTAAAAAAACAAAAATCAGCCTTTTATAGTACAATAACAGCAGATAATCACTATTATAAGGTGTTAATTTAGAGTGGGGAAACAGTAAAAGTAATAAAATATATATATATATATATATATATATATGATCATCCTTGCACAGAGCCCTTAACGTGGTTGTAATAATGTGTTTTTTTTTTTTTTTTTAAACAAACAACTTATCATACTTGCCTGCACTGTAATGGTTTTGCACAGAGCAGTCCTCCTGGGGTCTTCTGGGGTCCACCAGCACTTCTGGCTCCTCCTGCGTTTAGGGTGCCTCTATACCAAACCACAGAGTATAGTATAGAGTGCCCCTATAGCAAGGTAAAAAAACCTTCTGTCTTCAGAATCACTTCCTTCTCCTGCCCCGGACTACATGTCCCACGAGGCATTTGCTCCTCACACATTAACAAGTTCTCATACACTTACTGAAATGAAAGGACGGTGTACTGAGCTGTATGCGTGCTGCACTGTGTATATGGCATGTACGGATGGTGTACTGAGCTGTATGTGTGCTGCACTGTATTTCCTGATAATGTAAAAAATAAAAAAAATAATGCATTCTGTATGCAGGCCAACTAATCGGCTGACCAACTAATCGATTATGAAAATAGTTGACAAACAAAAAATAATTAACATTGCTCTGCCCACTATCTTGAAATGATTATTATGATTTATTTTTGATAAGTGATGGAATGAGACGTGACGTCTCTGTTGGTCTATGCAATGGTTCCTTTTAGTCCCTTCTCACCTTAAAGGAAAAGCTCACTGCTGATGTCAATCAGCCTGTCTAGACTCTGGAGAGCCTACCTTTTAGTGTCAGGATCCACCCAGATACCTGGACCAGCAGCTGACTCTGAGCCACTGAGAGCCTGAGCCAACCACTCCTACCTCTTCTACAGCCCGGCGCTCCAGTGAGTGCTGGAGGGGCAGAGCAGAGAGCCGGAGACTGACAGTTACCGGCTCTCTACAAACTGAAGACTAAAACTGAGCGATCAGTGGTCTTTGATCGCTCAGTTCTCAGGCTTAGAGGCAGTGGGGGACAGATACAGCATCAAATTGATGCTGCATCCACCTAGGTTAGTATGAATGTTTATTTTTTTAATCCCAAACATTTCTATTAACTTCTGAGTTATATTTTTTTAGGAAGCTAAAGTAAAAGAATTAATTTTGAAATATAATTAGTTGCATTTAAAAATGCATTTAATATTTGTTTTAGTGACTGTAACGTAATGCAGTTGTTTTTATATGTGCTTTGCGCAATGGTGATGCAGCGGAAAGAAAAGTTATGTAACTCCATGCTCGAGCAGTGTAAGATACAGTATGTATACTTTTTAATGATTTGAGTTTTAAAACATATATTCAATTTTGGCCACTAGAGGGAACCTTTGGCTTACATATTGAACAGAAAACATTATTATTATTATACAGGATTTATATAGCGCCAAGGGTTTGCTCAGCGCTTTACATTATAGTGGCAGACAATACAGTTCAATACAAGAGGGATTAGAGGGCCCTGCTCCTTGGAGCTTACAATCTAGGAGATAACTTTACCTGATCTAGTTTAAAGAATTATAAAATACAAACTGCAAATTAGTGTCTGTAAATGTTTGAGATCTTTTTGTATAAAGAATCCATTTTCTTATTAAAAACAAAAAAGAAATCTACTTATAAATAAATAATTAAGGTATCAGGGTGGCTTTATATTCTGCCTGAACTTATTGTGGCAGTCCAGTAATTTAAAACTCTAGCAATCTTCTCTTACTTTTCCTGCTAAATCTATGGCAAAGGCTATCGCTGGAAACCATTAAACAGTGTTTGGTGTTGTGGTGGGGTTTAAGTGGTTGTAAAGGCTAAAGGTCTCTGTATTAAGGTAAAAAACCCTTTAGGTGCAGCTCTCCCCTGAATGCCAAATACCTTCCTGAGCCCGATCTCAGTCCAGCGTTGTGCCCGAGAGCTGAGATGCTGCTCTTTCTCCATTTTCATTGGCTCCTGCTGCTGTCAAAATCCAGTGACTGGGGGCGGGGTCCAGCCGCACTGTGTGTCAGCAGATGCAAACAGTGTGGCTCAGGAGCAAATCCGCACAAGTACCCCAACACATGGCTTGCTAGGGGGTACTTGAAGGAAGGAGACAAAAGTGCCAGTGGGGGACCTCAGAAGAGGAAGACCAGGGGCACTGTATGCAAAACCATTGCACACAGCAGGTAAGTATGACATGTTTAATGTTTTAAAAAAAAAAAAGAGAGACACTTTAATGTTACTTTTTAATAACCAATATTCAGACGTTTCTCTGTTTGATTTTGAATTCCTGGGTAACTGCAATCCTGCTGATTTAATGAAGGTGACCAGGATCAGACCGCTAGTGGCATAATCTGTCAACACATACATACTTACCTTCACTTCTGTCCCTGGCACACCCCTGAAATAATCAAATAATGACTTTCCGATAGCTGCTATTTTCAAAGGAAAATACACACTTTTCCAGTGCTCATGCTCAGCCTGGTTTCTCAGGCATATTGGACATTGCATTTTGGGGTAGACGAAGTTGCAGGTAATACTGTTCATAGCCAGGAAGTGGAGAAAATGTAGGAGTACTCTGGGTGGCTCTGCAGGGATGGAAGTAATAGTAAGTAGTATTAATTTGCTGTCATCTCTCTGATTTTGCTGCTCCACTGGCCCAAGGTTTGCTTTAACGTATTGACACACTGATGCCAGGACCTGCCCTCTAGTTTTGTCTTTTAAAATCTAATTTAACATGCACTTGTGCAGCAAAGGAGGCATTGAGACAATGCATATTATATTGTTTTATCTTGCCGTGCTTTTGTTTTTTAAGATGCCTTGTAAGCAGAGCTGCATTATTGCATAGGAGTGAATGGGTTCTGTACTAGCCACAGTACATGTCTTTTTCTTTCCCTTCCTCAGATGCAACACGACGGCGAGCCTTTGGACTTGTAGCACAAGCGTACACATCAATTTGTGCAGATGATTTAGCAGCATTTGTTGGACTTCCTGTTGAGGAAGCTGTAAAAGGTGGGTTGTGAATAACAAAAGCCTAAGAACATGACTGTATTATCAAATTATTCTCACCAGTGTGAAAATGTCGGTTCTCACTTCTATGAGCATGTGTATTCTCTAGGAAATGCCCTTTCTACAGCTCTGTAGTTTTAAAGCACTGGAATCATTTTATATCTGTTTTGGAATCCCATCTAATGATGTCATCACCACAGTAAATGGTACCTAATTATCTTTTCCACATCTACTGAGCATTCTGAGAGCATTCATTTGTGCACTATGTACAGGAACAGAGATGCTTTTTTTATGTACTCCTAGAAATAATTTTGAGATTCCTTTTTATATGTTTAACATCGTTATTGGGTTTGTTTTCCCCCTAATAATACTTCCTGTACATATTTTTAGCCCCTAGGTGACACAAGTGCATATTCCCTAGCCGTATATTAAAGTATATAAGTGTAAGAACAATGTATATACTCTATTTTTGGGCTGCTCCGTTCCAGTCGTGATCTCCCCTGTGTCAGCCAGCGGCATCTGCAAGGGAGAGGAGAGAGCACTTTGATAACGACTAGTAAAGCCTAGAGCAGTGACATTACCCATAGGCTTCAGTGGCAAGCCATCCGTTGTCAACACTCCTTCCTTTTCCCTGGAGCTGTGATGGCTGTCACAGGAGCTGGATCACGTGACTGGAGCAGACTGAAGGTAAGTATATAAATCTTTCGTACATGAATTACGTAGCATAGATGCTAGGAGGGGGCAGCTGGAATTCCACTTTAATGCAGCTCTACTTCACAGGAATCAATAGGAGACATGTCGGTGTTACCAAATCTCAATATTCTTTTAATCTGTTTCTTGTCGGGAGAGAGAGGGACCTAGATTTTAACCGGCTGGGCTGCATGTTGTTCAGGAGTCCTCGGCAGTCTGATGTTGTGTATGGACTGTTGGGTCGGGGGTCACACCTGGATGTATTGTGGGGAGACTAACTTTAGAGATCTGACTTTCTAAGGTTTTGGACACCTTAAGTTGTTTTTTTAGAACTATCTATCAATTTGTTTTTCACAGAGCTATACATATAAAATATGAATAAGTACATTTAGCACTTATTTGTAATGCTGTGTGTTCTATAATGTAACCAATATAGAGCTAAAGAATGTCAAAGTAAAAGCACCCAGGAATCACACAAACTGAATTTTGGAATACTGGCAATTTAATTTGTGGGAGCATGCCCTTAGATCAGCCCTGTGCATGAAGTTCCCAAACTTCTTTTGAGCCTTTGTTGTGTGATTGTCTATGGGAGAGCCAAGAACTAATATGAAATCTATATCTGAAATCTGCTCTGCTGAGGTGGACTGTGTTCACACAGGCTTCAGCCTGTAAAAGAGCAGTTTGAACACCAAGCTTTTGAGAAGCTTCAAACAGGTTTCTTAAAACCTTTAAAGCACATTTCAGCTCCAGTTTGTAAATGTTAAACACTAGTCTTAATGGGAGTGCTGACTGTAACTTTAAACAAGGTGCTAGCAGACTTCAGCAGGCTTTCAAAAAGCTTTATGTCATGCCAGCGCCTCCTTCCTCACAGGTCACTAGGCCAGGGGTCTCCAAACTTTCTAAACAAAGGGCCAGTTTACTGTCCTTCAGACTTTAGGGGGCCAAACTGTGGCCATTGGGAGAGAAATTGTCCTGGCATCAGTGGGAGTAAACAGTGCATCTTTGGTATTAGGGCAAGTAATAGCGCCCCATCGTTGGTGTCAGTGGGCGGAACAGTTCCCCATCGTTAGTGTCAGTGGGAGAAATAGTGCCCAGTGTTGGCATTAGTGGAAGGAATAGTCTCCCATTGCTGGTGTCAGTGGGAGGAATAATGCCCCATCGTTGTTGTCAGTGGGAGAAATATTGCCTCAGTGTTGGTGTTAATGAAAGGAATAGTGCCCCATCGTTGGTGTCAGTGGGAGGAATAGTGCCCCCATCGTTGGTGTCATTGGGAGAAATATTGCCTCAGTGTTGGTGTTAATGAAAGGAATAGTGCCCCATCGTTGGTGTCAGTGGGAGGAATAGTGTCCCGTTATTGATGTCAGTAGCAGGAATTATGCCCTATTGTTGGTATAAGTGGGAGTAAAAGTGCCCCAGGGGCTGGATTAATGCAAGCAAAGGGCCTCATCTGGCCCCCGGGCCGCAGTTTGGAGACCACTGCACTAAACTGTAGTTTATTGCAATGTGTTGCAGTGCAGGTACATTGGGGTGCCATTCAAAATAAATGGCACTGCAATGTGTAAGATGCTTTACATTACTGCAGCACAATGGGGTTGATTTACTAAAACTGGAGTGTGCAAAATCTGGTGCAGCTGTGCATAGTAGCCAATCGGCTTCTAATTTCCGCTTGTTGAATTAAAGTGGTTGTAAAGGCTCAAGGTTTTTTTAAGTTCATGCATTCTATTCATGAAAGTAAAAAAAACTGCTGTGTTCAGCAGTCCCCCTAATACTTAACTTGAGCCCCCTCTCGATCCAGCGATGTTCACGAGAGCCTCAGCTCTATAGGGACTCTCTCTCCTCATTGGTTGAGACAGTGGTGGGAGTAATTGGCTCCTGCTGCTGTCAATCACTGCCATTTAGCCAATCAGGAGAGAGAGGGGGCGAAGCTGAGGCGTGGATTTTTGTGCGAATAAACACGCAGAGCAGCGGTTCGGGAGTGAGCCTGCTTGGGTGCCCCCATAGCAGGCTGCTTGCTCTGTGGGCAAGGGATTGGCAAGGAGCACCAATGGGGGATCCCAAAAAGAAGAGGATCGGGGCTACTCTATGCAAAACCACTTCACAAAGCAGGGAAGTATAACTTTTTTTTTTTTTATTAATTGCCTTTAATATCACTTTACGCTTTGATATAATATAAATAACCTGGAAGACAACTTTTTTCTATGTAGAGCTGCACCAGATTTTGCACTTTCCAGTTTTAGTAAATCAACCCCTTTGATGCGAATCCAGCATTTTGAGGGTATTTATGACATTCCTTTGTCTTTTCACTATGTCTCAGAATAGGTCACTTCAGAGTCAGACTAAAACTGGCCATACACCTTTTTAGATTTTTTTACTTCAGTCTGCGGACTATTACAGCTATACTGCACAGATGAATGAATCTGCTGTTGCAAATGACAGTCTGCCCCGCCGGCTGTCAAAGTACCCAAACAGCAGCTGCATCAGATTTGATGCAGCTACAGTTTGCCTGACAATTTTCTGCACATCTCCTTAAATTTTTCAATGGAGGGTGTCTGTCCAGAGGGAATTGACAAGGCCACAGGCAGTCTGTGCGTGTAGCTTTAGGGCTCATGTACACTGCAGCTGATAAACGCATGTTTAGGAGCTGTTCAGCATTTTTTTCAGCAGCCCCTGAACTCACCCTAATGTTTCCTATGTGTCCATGTACACATCTTCGTTTACAGGCATTTGAGTTTACAGTGGTTTTTTTTAACACCGAAAACTTGTGTTCAGCAATCAATTTTATCAGTGTTTCAAACGCAAAATGCTTGTAAACGTGGCAAATCGCATTTATAAGCGCTTGAGTTTGAAATTTTTTTTAACTTTTCCAGTTCCCAATGCTGTCCAGAGCCTTTTTTCATCATGAAAAATGCATGGAAAGAGTTTTCAAGGTGCTCAGATGGACAAAACACTGAACACAGGATGTTCCTACCAAGCTTGTCACACATTGTAATGACCAATTCCTACCTCAGACCTCTCCCACCCTTGGAAACAAAAGATATGTTAATGACCCTTCACACCTCAAATTCCTCATCCAGACCCCCTGCCAGGTGACCTTAATGAGTCACTCCACCAGGCACCTTTCCCACCCTTGGAAACAAAAGAAATGTTAATGAGCAACTCACACCTAAGTTAATGTCAACACATACTGCTGTCTCTGCTTCTACTCTGTATTTCTCGGAAACAGTCTGAAATCGTTAATAATTTACCACTTTTCAGTGCATTCTGGGCATTTAGGAGGTTCTCCTGTGCTTATCTTTAAAAAACGCTTCTAAACGCATTATGCAAGCGCAGCTAAACAGATGTTTTTTTAACCTACGTTTTACAGCAGTCAGTTTCCATCGTTCAGAAGTGTCCCATGTACATGGGGCCTCAGATTGTCCACAGTCAAAAATCTGTGACACTCCATAACTACTTTTCTTTCCCCTTTTAGGAGTTCTAGAACAAGGTTGGCAGGCTGATTCTGCCACACGTATGGTAATGCCGAAGAAAAAAGAAACCAGGTAGGTGGTGATTTAGGTGCAATGTTTGTAATTTGTGGGCTCAATATTCTACCTTTTTTATCTTTCACCTTCCTCTGAATTTCTGTCTTTTTCTAGATCTACACAGTTATTCTAGCATGTGACTTTAGTTATGAATTTCTTAATTACCATCATTGCTTTTGCAAGCTTTGTTTTTGACTGCCTGCTTTGTGCAGCTAATAAAAAACTTGGCAAACGTTGCTCTTTATTTAAAAGAAAGACAGACAGTTTCTCAGAATCACTAGGAATGAGGTCACATCCGCCTTTTTCCTTCCATTAAGCCACTTCTAAAAATAACCCACAATTTTTCTCTCACACACTGTCTGAGCTGGAGGGAGAAAGGCATTAAATGTTCTGTTCATAATTTCCTAAAGCACTGCAGGTCTTAGTGGAGGGGGGGATGTGTAGAATGGTAATGCTATGTACATTTTGGGCGGGAGGTCAGATTGATGGTTTATTCTGCTTTCCACACAGATTCTGCTCCCCTGTCTCTGATCCCCAACGAACAGCAGCTGGCGAGACTCACTGACTACGTGGCCTTCCTAGAGAACTAGCATCCCCTTCCAGCCTGACATCAAGAATGCAGGAAGCTGAGGGAGCGGCAGGCCGGGGATTTTCTGCACTTTGATGCCCGTACCTCCAAATCCTCACATTATATATACTCATAGCAGGCTGGGCAAACACCTCAGCTGCTTCAGGACTGAAAGGGTTAATGTGGGGGTGGGGGGGGGAGAAGGCACCAATGGGCCAACTTGAAACTTGGCTTGGTCTGTTAACCTTTTTGCTGCCAGAAAGACTTTGCAATTGTCTACACAGTAATTTGGTAAGTCTCTCTGGCAGAAAAGAGGTTTTAGTTATTTTACAGAAGTTTAGCAATAGATACTTGCTTTCAGTCTAATATGACTTAGGGTAGCCTGTTATTGAAATGTCCTATTCTAGCTGTTTTACCGACGTGCGATTTTCCAGGCTTCTTACTAGTAGTGGAATATATTAGCATCTCATTTCCTCCTAGTAATTACAGACATGTGGAACTTTCTGTTGGCTGTTTTCCTGGTGACACCGCATGTGTCACAAGGTTCTTGGACAATCAGGCGTCGCCATTTCACAACCTTCCTGTTTGAATATATATACTGGCCAGTCAGTATATGGAATGTTCTGGGAAAACTTTGCCATCGTATACAAAGGAAAACAGTAACTGCTGCTTGTGTCACAGCAGGGCAAGTGAAGCTCAGGATGTGGTGCTGGAACCTCCACCTCATTATCCAATAGTCCTTCCTGTCAAGACATCCACTCCCTGTTTTTAAGCAGTATTCAGTACACATCTGTTTTAAAGGGTCAGTCCATCTATAACGTATAGCAAAAGAAAGATGCTGGTGAGTTGAACCACATGCTGGCTCTGTTTTGGAGGACACTAGTTATGAGATATTCTTTGGTAGGGTAGCTGACTGCCATTCTTTGCTCTGGATTCTTATTGGTCCTCTTATTTCTGGACAGAGTCTCTCAGTGATGCATGATCTACGTAAATCAAATCACCACAGTCCATCCAAAAACTGAAATCGATGTTATGGATAGACTGCTCCTTTAGTGATGCATTGAATTACCATAAGGAAGAGTGTTTTTGCATTATGCCTAATCCCAACATGGCAAGTACATTTGTCTAAGAGCTGAAAGAATATCAGCAAAGAAGATGGAGCGTATAGCACTTCGGGGTTATGGTCCCTCTAGACACTGCATGGAAGGTGAAGCGGTGTTAATTTTGTGAACTTGTATTTTGATCTTGAAGATCTTCCAAGAATGACCCATTAAAACATGTTTATTACACATAGATGTTTCATTATTTATTTATGTTTCAAAGCAGAATTCAAAACGTATCTGAAAATTTGTTCCACATTGTACTGTCTTTGCCAATCTTCTAGAATTGCTATAGGGAGGTATATACTGCGTAGTGGTAGACTTTAAAGCTCCCCTGCTATTTTGTGGCATGTTATAAGTGGTATGAGAGGGATTTGTGAGCTGGCTCTGAATCCAGTACTGCAATCCAGATGCATAATGTTGTGCAGATTTTTTTCTTTTATATGCCTTTTTGTGTTTTCAAGCTTGACCACATTTGGAAGGCAAATATATATGTAATTTGTTTTACTGTAAACATTCCTTTATATAATACATTTTAGAAACCAACAGTTAACCATACTTATTAAACCTGAGCTCCAGGCTAACGGCTAAATACACAGATGAAATATGGTTTTACCTACCAAGTGAGATTTGTATTTGCTTTTCTGTCCACCCAGCCCTACACTGCTCTGTCAAACAGCTCAGCCTGAAAGCTGAACTCCATCCCTGCCTTTTTGTTTTACGAAGTTTTACAGGCTACTCTGCTGTACTAAAATTGCTTACTCTGGTTTGACTGCACACTGTAAGCTTCTCACATTTATGTATGTGTTAAAAATGTGGATTATTGTATCATTTCTGCTCACTCAGTTTACTGACTGGACAGTAGAAAAACAGCAAAGGCTTGTAATGCATCATCTTCAGTGGACATGATATCACCTCTAAATCTCCACATATAATCAGCAAGAAAATAAATCATCTATAGCGGACCTGATGTCACCTCCACATTTCCCCATATCATTATCAAGGCATCGCATGCAGTGATAGGAGATAACCATCCGTAACCTGGGCAGAAGAGAATGCAGTTACCTCACAGTCCTCCACACAGTCGTATGATCAGATGAGCGCGTGTAACACTCACAGTGACTGACTCTTACGACACTGAGTGTTGCAGGCACTCATCTGATCGTACGACTGTGGAGGGCTGTGATGTGACTGCATTCTCTTCTGCCCAGGTTTACGGAGGGTTATCTCATATCACTGAATGTGATGCCTTGATCATATGGTGAGATGTGGAGGTGATATCAGGTCTGCTACAGATGATCTATCAATCTTGGTGATTATATGTGGAGATTTGGAGGGGATATCATGTCTGCCGCATATGATGTATTAATTTTCAAGCCTTTGTCACCTAAAGGGTCCAGTTGTCCTGGTAAGAGTCCTCTTAACCTAAGGTGGTGGTACACTTTGCTGTTGGAAGTTTCTGGACAAGCAAGAACTTTTTTCTATTATACTCTTATGGATTTGGACACACTTGGAACTTTTTATTTGCATTTGTTTTCCTATATATTAGAACACTATTGTTTTTGATGGTTTCCATTTGTCACAAGAAGCACAGCATTATAATTATATACACTATATTGCCAATAGTATTGGGACACCCCTCCATCTCATTGGATTCAGCTGTTCCAATCACCTCCATGGCCACAGGTGTATAAAATCAAGCACCTAGGCATGCAGTCTGCTACAAACATTTGTGAAAGAATAGGTCGCTCTTAGGAGCCCAGTGCATTCAAGCGTGGTACCGTGATAGGTTGCCACCTGTGCAATAAGTCCATCCTTGAAATTACCTTACTACTAAATATTCCACGGTCAACTGTTAGTGGTATTATAACAAAGTGGAAGCAACTGGGAACAACAGAAACTCGGCCACAAAGTGGTAGGCCATGTAAAATGACAGAGTGGAGTCAGTGCATGCTGAAGCGCACAGTGCATAGAAGTCGGCAACTGTCTGCAGAGTCAATAGCTAAAGACCTCCAAACTTCATGGCCTTCAGATTAGCACAACAGTGCGTAGGGAGCTTCTTGGAATGGGTTTCCATGGCCGAGCAACTGCATCCAAGCCTTACATCACCAAGTGCAATGCAAAGCGTCAGATGCGGTGGTCTAAAGCATGCCATCACTGGACTCTAGAGTAGTGGAGATGTGTTCTCTGTATTGACGAATCATGTTTCCCTGGTAATCCGATGGACGTGTCTGGGTTTGGTAGTTTGTCAGGAGAACAGTACTTGCCTGGCTGGATTGTACCAAGTGTAAAGGTTGGTGGAGGGGGGATTATGTTGGGTTGTTTTTCAGGGGGTGGGCTTGGCACTTAATTCCACTGAAGGAAACTCTTAAAGCATCAGTATACCAAGACATTTTGGACAATTTCATGCTCCACAGTTTGTGAGAACAGTTTGGGGATGGCCCCTTCCTGTTCCAACATGACTTTGCACCACTGCGCAAAGCAAGGTCCATAAAGACATGAACGAGTGAGTTTGTGCAGGTCAGTCAAGTTCCTCCACCCCAGACTCCTGACCTTAACTCAAAAGAACACCTTTGGGATGGATTAAAGTGAGCCAGGCCTTCTCGTCTGACATCCGTGCCTGAGCTCACAAATGCACTTCTGGAAGAATAGTCAAACATTCCCATAGACCAGGGGTCTTGAATTAAAATTTACGGAAGTCCGGTCAGCAAAATTTCCGTCCAGCAGAGGTCTGAATCTCGTTAGCAATATAATACATCACAGTCCCCCCAGTACATTATATCTTTAGCATACCTTTCACACTATAGTCCCCTCTACATCACATTCCCTTTTTAAAGAAGTCCCACAGTGTCCTAAGTTTCCCTTCACATCACTGCTCCCCTTTACATCGCACTGCCCCTTTAAATATTACAGTGCCCCTTAACACAACACGGCACCCTTTTAATGAAAGCCTTCCCCTGCACAGTCCTTAGGCAGAGCAGAGGCACTAATCCTGGGGTGTCCTCTCCTGGGCGTCCAGCCTGCCACTGATGTCACCCTCCTAGCAGGAGGGGGTGGGAGGAGCTGCAGATCGGGATTGAGGGGCGGGGATATCAAGTCAATTTTCAGGAGCCTAAACTTTAGGAAAATGCACAGTATAAATAAAAAAACAATAATTTGTGCTTTGTATTTTATTTCTGCCTGGATTTCAGCTGTAAAGTAAACCTGTATTTTTCCCATGCTGGCCAAATCTGAGTCCAGTCACACATTAGTTGACAATGGTTCCAGTTTTGGGGGTACACCTTATCTTTCCCCTGCCCCTCCACAATGCAATGCTTGATGCCTGAATGGCCAGACACAGATGCTCTTATGTGGGAGTTGGGGGTAGGGGAGCATGGTAGTTATGTGGTACTTGGAGCCATGCCACTGAATGGGTTCACTTTAAACAACTGTGCTCTTTATTTAAAGTAGTAAATTTTTCATTTTGGATAAAGAAAGGAGGAGGGTTATAACACCTGTCCAGATTTTTTTTTTCTTCCATTTGTGTCCTATTGCAGAGATTTGCCTTCACTTCCTGTCCTATAACCAAAACAGGAAGTGAGGAAATTTTGGGGACAACCCAAAAACTCTGGACTTTCTTTTAATTTCAATGATAATGGTAACAAGGACAAAGAGAGGGTTCATCTCCCGCACCCCAGACACCACCAAACAACTCATACACTCCCTCATCATCTCACGCCTGGACTATTGCAATTCCCTTCTCACTGGCCTACTCAAACAAACGCTATCCCCACTCCAATCGATCCTAAACTCAGTGGCTAGACTCATCCACCTCACCAACCGATCCACATCTGCCTCCCCCCTCTGCCAATCCCTTCATTGGCTCCCGATTGCCCAACGCATCAAAGCTACTACAAAGCCGTTCACAATGCCGCACCAAACT